CCCTGCCTAGTCTCATTTTTAACTCTTTGCTACGATCTTTTCTCCCAGAGTAGCATCTTGTTGATTCATCCCTGAATTCCCCCTTTGCTTAGCCCAGCTAGATTCTAGGGTCTTCTTATTGCTTTCTCTCAATTAGTCAAGTGACTTCCAGCATATGTTTGCCCCAAATTTCTGGCCCTGGGTGAATGCTGTGCAAATAAATGTTTATCATAGGATCTCTCGGGGGAGTGGGGGAAGTCCTGATTTGTGGCATTCATCAATTTCCCTACTGTGAATATTCCCACTGTAGCCAGTTTCTAGCTGACATTTTGTCACGGAATGTGGGGTTCAGAAGAGATGTGCACAGTCAGCTCTGCAGCCAGCTCCAGCCCACCACTGTCCTGGCCCCTCCTTTGTCTGTTAGGACTTAAAATACGGGAAGAGAGAATTGGTGCAGCTAAAGAATCCTAACCAGGTCATGTATTTTATATTAGCAACTTCCACAAAGTTTTAATTATCTTTCATTGAGTCCATCTGTCTCTCTACCCACCAAGAAATAGGTAGAGATGAGGACAGAGGAAAGGTTTCATGTTTGGTGCTAACACACACACACACACACACACACACACACACACACACATTTATATTTATTACAATACCTTTCTGAAAAAAATGTAGATAAGTAGAAATGTTTACTTTTTATGATTAATAAACAGCATGATTTAGTCTATTGAATATAACAGTTGAAGACCATTTACATTTTTACCGAACTTGGTGTACTCTACATAGAGTGTTTCTGACATAGCCTTTTCCTCTTCTTTGAAATGCTCCATTCCTAGTGAGTTATATATTTAGCTCTCCACCTGTTATTTATTATTTTTGTTTACAGAAAACCATAAGTGCACAGAACACATAAAAGGCCCTATAAAGATGAGTTTTCTAATCCAATTAGGAAGATAATACCTTGGGCAACAGACAAAATGGGCAAAGAGATGAAAATATTTTTATAGTGCAGATCAGAAAAGAGTTTCATAAAATAAGTAGGAAAGAATAATAAATAGAAGAGAGAATACAGGGGTTGGGGAGCACAGAATACGGGAACATATTGTGTTATTGAAAATAGAAATTAACAGCATTTAATAAAAGTGGGACCCGGCCAGGTGCAGTGGCTCATGCCTGTAATCTCAACACTTTGGTAGGCCGAAATGGGTGAATCACCTGAGGTCAGGAGTTCGAGACCAGCCTGGCCAACATGGTGAAACCTTGTCTCTATTAAAAATACAAAAATCGGCCAGGCATGGTGATGCGCCCCTATAATCCCAGCTACTCGAGAGGATGAGGTGGGAGAATTGCATGAACCTGTGAGGCTGAGGCTGCAGTGAGCTGAGATTACACCACTGCACTCCAGCCTGGGCGACAGAATGAGACCCTATATCAAAAAAAAAAAAAAAAAAAAAAAACGGGGTCCAATAAAGAAAATCTTTTGGCATGCACAAGAGGGGAGTCAAAGGGATAAAAAAGGAAATGGAGCTATCAATCTAAGAGCATTGAAAATGTATATCTGGTAAGTAATCAACAAATTGTGGTCTAAGAGATAAGAGACAGATGGCTAAAATGAATATTATGGGGAAAAGTAGGTAACTACAGAAACCTATAGGAAGAGAAATTTGTGGGCTAGAAGAGATTAAGAAAAAATTTCAGGGCTACATTTGAGGTTCATCTCTGTAAGATATTTGCATGAACCTGATCATTTGAATGCTTATTGGTCAATGGTTTAAAAAGTCATCATTTAGTTAGTGCAAACTCAACAACATTCATTTATTTGGCAAGCAGTTATTGAGCATTAATGTTGTCAAGATACTTTTCTAGGTGCTGGGGAAAAGAGAAGGCAACAAATATTTATTGACTTTCTACTCAGGCATAGAGACTGAGATTTAACTTAGATTGTATCATTTAACCCTTATCATGATCCTACCAGGTCGATTTTAATATTCTCATGGTGGTTAAGAAAACTGTTGTTCAGAAACGGGAGGCAATGAAGATTAAAAGACTTGTGTCTGTAAGCAGTTTACCATCCAATAAACGAAAGTCGCTTTTGAATATAGGAAAAGATTCTTGTCTCTTGTATTGACTGTTTGAAAAAAAAAAAAAAGAGCCCTTATCTGGAAGTAAAGTGATGGCTTTTTCTGAGAAGATAATAAACTCCTATTTTTAGACTCATATTTGCCAAGACTACTATGCTCAATCATTTGAGCCTTCAACAGGAAATGATAATATCCATAATCACTGGAAGGATTGTTATCCACACAGATTATATTAGTACCCTCATCATTCTGACTGTGTGAAAGTTTTATGGGCTGGGCATGGTGGCTCATGCCTGTAAACCCAACTCTTTGGGAGACCGAGGCGGGCAGATCACAAGATCAGGAGATCGAGACCATCCTGGCTAACGTGGTGAAATCCTGTCTCTACTAAAAATAAAAACAAAAATATTAGCCGGGTGTGGTGCCACGTGCCTGTAAGTCCTAGCCACTTGGGAGGCTGAGGCAAGATAATTGCTTGAACCCGGGAGGTGGAGGTTGCATTGAGCTGAGACTGTACCATTGCACTTCAGCCTGGGTGACAGAGACTCTATCAAAGGAAAAAAAAAAATGGGAGAAACTTTTATGGCAGTTGTATGTGCCATAATAGTGAGGAAGGTGTTGATAGCAAAAAACAAAACAAAACAAAAACCCTATACAAGTAATTGCTGTGTGGTTTTCTGAAACTTAATGTTATTAATTCACTTAATACTTTAAATTCCTACTACCACACTTTCACCCAAGCTACTCTTCCCACTTCCGATAAGGAATCTCCTAACCAGTTGTCTGTCTTTGCAGTCTCTTAATCCAGTCCATCCTGCATGTTGCCTTTACATGAATCCCCCTAAACCACTGTTGTGAACACATAACTATCTTCTTGAAAATACTGTCTACAGAATACAGTACAAACTCTGTAGTTTTGGAGGTAAAGCCACCAAAAGCTAGTCACTAGATACCTTTCTAATGAACTGTCAATTCCACAGGTACGCTCACTGTTTCACGCATAATACTCTAGATACTTCAGCCCTAAATCTTGCTGTTTACCCTTGTGAAAATGTCATCACCATATTACCTACTTCTCAAAACAAGTCTTCTTTCTTCTACTTCATGCCATTGAAATCATCCTTCAACTCCCAAAGAATATATTTTGTGCCATATATGCCTATTATGTATTTATTTCTCAAAAACATATACTATATTTTATGTACCATTTTTTAGTCTGCCATAGTGACATACATTAGGTGCTCAATGAATACACTTATGATATAACCACACACACACTGAATATCCTAGATCACTAATTTGATTAAACATTCACTCATAAGTTATTTTTTTGCTTCCTGTTTTTATCTGGTACTCTTGTAGTCACTGGGGGACAAGGAAGACAAAGTGTCTGTTTTCTAGATCTTATATTTCCAAGTGAAGACAGGCAGTAAACTATTTAATAATATGATACAATTGCTTACAAAGAGTGATGAGGACCACAGGACCATAAAGGAAAATGCAGGGTAAAGTTGAAGAGAGAGAGGGATAGACAGGAAGCTTAGTTTAAATGCAATCATCAGGAAAAGGTTAGTTGAGGCACTACCATTTGAACAGACACCTAAAGTACATAAACTATAACTATGTAAGTTCAATTTTGAATGGGGACAATAAGCCTGAAGTCTTTTAAAAAGTCACTGAGCTTGACTACTTTTGGAAAATACACTATAAGAGGAGTGAATATAGAAGCAGGGACCCAGTTAGGAAGCCATTTATTGTAATCTAGGCTGGAAATAATGGTGAGATTCCAGCTACATTTTGAAGGTTGATGCATTCGATTATTTGATACTTATAGTGAGATTACATATTTGGAGACAGAATTGATCAGAGAATCTCATGTTATGGATCAGAGATAGTAACCAGAATTAGGATTTTGGCTCAAATGCAAATTCAAATGAAAGCCTCCAAAGTCTATATGTTATATATATATTAAAATATATATAACATATATAAAATATATATGTATATATTACAAATAGCGAGATTCTGCCAGGCAAAGATAAATCTCTGCACATCTATGTTGATTCTGGGTACTCTAGCACCTAGCTTGGAGGTGGGCACACACAAGTGCTGGGGAGTTCTTCTCAAATTTATTGTGCATTCAAATTGCCTGAGAATCTTGGCGGAACACAGATTTTGATTCAGTAGGTCCAGGGTGGCCTGAAATTCTGCATTTCTAACAAATCTCAGCAGTTGTCAATACTGCTTGTCGGAGAATGGCATTTATGCAGCAAGGTTTGATGATTGATTGGATGGTGATTTCCTACCTCAACTAGGAGAAAAGTCTGATTTTCTTAAATAATACCCTGTCGGGAACCATTTGAATTGAAAAGTATTTGATCCTTACAAATACGTATTTATTTTATTTATTTATTTATTTTTAGTTTTGAGACAGCGTTTCACTCTTGTCTCCCAGGATGGAGTGCAATGGCGTGATCTTGGCTCACTGCAACCTCCACCTCCCAGGTTCAAGCTATTCTCCTGCCTCAGCCCCCTGAGTAGCTGGGAGTACAGGCACGTGCCACCTTGCCTGGCTAATTTTTTGTATTTTCAGTAGAGGTGGGGTTTCACCATGTTGGCCAGGTTGATCTTGAACTCCTCATTTCAGGTGATCCACCCGCATCTGCCTCCCAAAGTACTGGGATTACAGGGATGAGCCACTGCTCCAGGCCTAAATAAATATTTAATATGTATTTATTTCTTAAGGGATTAAGGTGATTCAGGAATATATAACACGACTTGTCATTTTTTAGGTTAAAAAATATTGAAGAGAGTAGATTTTAGTGGTGTTCTTGTTGGTGGTATTCTTCCTATAATAGTTATTAGTATTATTCTTTAACTGTTATTTCTGGCTAGTAGAAACTATGCAATGATGGCATTTTCTCCCATCCTGCACAGGAGCACCTGGGGAGTTTCTATAAAATACAGACAGCTGTGTCCTACTCCTTGGTAATACAGTAAGTATTCTGGTATCCATATTTTTCAAAATTTATCCCAGCAATTCTTATGTTTAACTGTGTTTGGGAGCCACATGTATATCAAAGTAAGCTATTGTTATTATAATAATATCATGATTCTAAGATGACATATTAATAGAATTGGCCTAGGATAAATTAAGAAAATTAAACTTTTTAAATGAAAACTACCTAATTCCTTCTAAAATATATTCTATAAATAAAAACCTAAATATAGTACCATAATGTTATATGTATAGGAAACGACTTTAAAATATCTATAAGACTATAAATGGTGATTATCAATTAATAGCATCTGCTAGTTACATAAATCTTTCCCTTTTATAAAAGTCTGATATGTTAAAATTCTACTTGCTTAGAAAAGTATTAAATGAAATATAATTGTTGCTGCAAGAACTCTATTATAATCTGCAAACCTCTTTGAAGGATTAAATAGACTCCCTAAAATGTATGCACATGTATGTGGATACACACTTACATACATAAAAATAAAGATACATACATCTATATTAGTCCATAGCAAAATTTTGTCATGCATTATACATAATGAGTATATTTAAGGTAGGACAGTACAGGGATATTAGATTTACTTATTAATGAATTGATTTGTCAAAGTGTTTTAACTGAGGACAGATGAGTGAAATTGCATTGTAATGTTATTCATTATCTTGAACAATTTTCTTAAGAATTTCACATTGAATAAAATTGCCAAACACACTTTTGCAAGGTCATTATCCTTTTAGTGTTAAACCTTGAATATTTTCCATTATCATCGAGATCTAATTCATTCATGTTGTTTTTTAGAGGTAGCAAATGTATGTCTAAAAATGTTTTCAGGAAAAACTTAAGAAATGCTTCCCAAGAGTCTTTTTGTTTTCTCCCCAAAATCAGGAAGTTTCATTTATCTTTGAGCATCTTATTAACTGAAAATAAAAGTTGGTCTCATTCCAATTATGTACCAGTAACTCTCTTCCAAACTTTGAGCCCTGAGCAAATCCTGTGGGATAATGTGCTTCTGCACGTTGCCAGGAGCTCGAGTGGCGATCATCATGGAGGCCTTTCACTGCCCAGCCTCATCTCAGCCATGTGCTTGCCCCGGTACAGTGAAATAACTGTCTAGTCCTGATAAGAGTTAATTGTAAAGGTGAGTTATTTGGAAACACTTTTCTAGCTTTAAATGTCATCTAGCATTTTTGGATGAGAAATGCAATTTTTTAATTAAAAATAAAATAAAATTCACGTATGTTGAAGTATTATAAAAGATTGGTTTCTTCCTTAGCAGAATGTAGGCTCTGGCAGAAATATAGTTTCAGGTGTGGGTGTAGGAGGGAACCAAACTTGGATGAAACAGGATTTTATCTTCCTGGGGTGGGCTGCCAGTTAAATTTCTGCAAATAGCAATGTCATAAAGCATGGTTTGAGAGAAAGACCATGTGCTTTCTAGAGTAGCAACCGGGAGAAAAACAACCAAATTACAAGGAGGCTGGAGGCTAAATGTAAAAACAAAAAACAAAACAAGAAAAAAAGAAAAACAAGCTCTCTCCCCATCCACCTTAAGTCTCGCAGAATAAAAATGCATTTTAAAAATATACTTTGTGCAATAACTATTAAAAATCAAAGTACAACAGCATGAATCTTAAAAGTTCCAAGTGCCTGCTTGATGAACTCTGCTATCTGGGTACTAGGATATCAAGGTTAATTAAAGAAACGACAATGTGGCTACGGAAGACACATTAGCAAAGCCACATACAAAGCTGAACAGCAATTAGAGAGAATCAAAAAACAGACACACAAAATGGAACCTTTGGCAAACCTAAAGATAGACTCTACCTCAGCATCTGTCGTTATGTTACAAACATCTAAAAACCTTACGTTTCTGATTTTTGCTTCTTGTTCCACCAACCTACCCTCCCACACACACACTCCTTGCCTCCACACTTTCCCGTAGCATGGTTTTTATGGGGGAAATTGGAGGAAGGGAAAGGAGCTAGTGTTAAAGAAAGTTGTCCTAGGCGACACAGGGGAAATGACCGTGTCAGAATAACTAAGAACAATACGGAAGATACAGAAAATCAGGATTTAGTGGAAAATAGAAGTAGTTTCTCTGTTAAGAGGTTGAGTTATAAGAAGCGGGTATTTAATTTTCTACCCATAAAATTTCTGGCATCATTTACTTGCTTTTCTCTTAGCAAACAAATCAACAGTCTTCTTGGGACTTTATGTAAGTCCATCATACTTCAAAACTCTGTAGTTCAGTGGACTTCCTGTTTATTTATTGTTCTGTCTTCCATATTATGCTACCCAAGCTAAGTTTTTCTTTTTTTCTCTCTCATCTTGTCAGTATTTTTTTTTTAACTCTCCTGAGTCATTTTTAACATACAGTTAGGAATTTTTCCAGCCACTTGAAAATTCTATACTCTTTTCCTGCCATTTAAAATACAGTATTACAGTAAATTACTGCTACTGGGAAGAACATTCTGACTTGATCAGTGCAACCATGGTGTAAAGTGTGACAGACAGAATTCAAACACTAAGAGGGCAGTCTTAGTTTTTATATACCATTCTTTAGTTATAGATGAGAAGTACATTAGCTGTATTTAAGACATCAGAAATACATTTGTATATAGCTGATATTATTAATTTGTTAACTACAATGGCAATTTCACACAGAAACCCTTTTGTTGGAAACTGAATTTCTCATGTAATAATTAGCTGTGGAATATTACCCCAAACAGGTGTCTGTAGCCTGTCAAAGTCAGAACAGGTGATTTAGAATTAGCGTATTAAAAGAACTGTGAATTAGCGAAGCAAAAACGTGTTAATTTCTTGTTCCATCTGTTAATATGAATTCACTGCCAAATATTTTACTTTGTAGAACTGTGCTGGGATTGGCAAGAACATACACTATAAAAAAAGTTTAAAGGCCTGAATGTTTAAAAATCATGACATACGTTACTGCAAAAATAACTTCTACATTTTTGAACATGCTTTTTTTTCTTTTTATCTTTGAAAAAAATAACTGCAGAGATTGCCATATAATATAGAAAGTTAACTAAAGAAAACATACGATCAAATGTTAGACCTTTAAAACAAAAATTGGAAGAAAATGTTATTCAAGAATGTTTGATTATAAATGAGGACTAATTCTTCAGTGCTACTTCTCAGATGGATCAGAGAACTATTCTGAATTGCTGAAAGACGTGGAGAAAAATATCTGCTGCTACCGTGCAGCTCATATCCAATAATATCCTCTTATACAGAGATGCCATTATAGAAAGATAAATCTTTTTTTCTATCCAAATACTGTAATCCTTTAAAGGATTATGGTGCAATTTAGGTCACTAAACCACAATCTCTGTATAATTATGAAATCTTTTGTTCATTAGCTTAGTTTTGTTTCTTCCACCAAATTTTACTTGCATTGATAAAATCAAAATACATTATACCCTTAACTCCATATGCATGTGTGTAAGCATGTATGGCAGTGTCAGGAGTAGAGGATGAAGAGGGAAAAAAGAGGAAGGCTCGCAATGCAACGTAAACAGTTCTTGAGGCGCATTGCCATTCCAACACATTTGCAGGAATTTGGCCTGCAACTGGACACGTTTTTATTCTGAAAACCCTAAAAGAATCTAGGGCTAATGAACTGTTTAACCAGTTTGCCATCTTTGTATCTCTTTTCTTTGCAGGCAGATCCATGGGAGAAGAAAGAAATTTGAAGTGAATTGAAATTTGTGAGCTTAGACATATGCTAAGAGTACAGTTAACTTGAGTTACTTTTTCCATGCTGCTGAATTGGGTCCTGAATGAGGCAGTTTTGTGACTTAAACAGATTTCACTAATTTTCCTTCCTTGCACATTTAAAAAACAAACCACACTCTCCCATATTGCTGTTTGGGTTTTAACGGAGCTAAGGCATGCACACCCAATTACTATAAGCACTTTAAGTAAAGCTTAAAGATATGCAGCATGTTCTTAACTGCAAATGATATGATAGGTAGTGTCTTTCCTCTCTAGTTTTATGTCACATCCAAGAGATTAATCCTCTCATGAATCATCCATAATGACTAGAATAATTTGGGGAACTGAATGAAATTTTTCAAATTATTTATATCATGAACTCACAAGAATATGAATGGTGGGTTATGCAAATACAAACCATGCTTACAAAAGCTAAATACAAAAAAAAAGGAGGGGAAGAGGATTAAGTTTATATTTCTAAAACTGGACGTCTTTGAATTGACACACCGTGTCCTTATTACTTTGCTGGTGAGTGATTCCTGTTACAGTTTATGAAACATACAAGGGCAACTCTTATTGTTTCCAACATTTGAGTAGAAAAAATATGGATCTTTTGTATAAGGTTACAGTAAGCATAGCAAATTCTCTAAGGATTAAGATGTTCATATTATGTGAAGTTCATATTTTGAGAAAAAAACCACCACCTTTAAAAATAGCCAGAGATAAGTTTTTCTATTTGAAACAGACTGGGCTTAAGTTCTGTAATTTTTCCTAAACATGATCTCAGACAAAAGACAATTCTCTATCCTCATATTTAAGAAATATGGTGTTACCATATAGGAATCATTAATGAAATAGATCCAAAATTATTTATCCTCAATGTAAAAATTCATATAAGCCTATATAATATATAAATCATTTTATAGAGTTTTAAATTATACAGTACATCAAAGTTTTAGTTGACTTATCTGAAAAGACATTTTTGGTATGTAAATAAAAATGCAAAAAGAAGAACCTGTCAGAAAGTAAATAAAGTATGTAAATTAAATAAAAGGTAAGGCAGCTACACTTTTTATATAAATAACTGTGTTAACAGAGCTTTATGCATATTACAATATATTCAGATGCATAGCTTTTGCAAAAATAAATTCATTGCTCCTCTCCAAAGAATGGATTAAAACAATTTATTTTATAAAATTTGGATAGATAGGATAAGAAATGTAATAGCCATCCATGGAAAATAAATATAAAAATTATTCAAGCTCCATCTACTTTATGTTAGTAATGAGATGCACTTCATTCAAATTCCTTTCAATTGAAACAGTGCTGAGGAAGCAAAAACATGATTCTGTAGGAAATGATTTCTAATCTTCATGATAAC